TCTTTAACAATTGCATTGCTTCGTCCCAAAAACGATGCTTGAGCTAGTGAGTTTCTTGTGGCAGCAAGCTCAAACACTTTTCGCGGCGTTTCCAGCTTCTGATACAACTTTCAGTCTTTTTTTTTTTATTCTTCTACTACTCACTTATACTTTGCCAGTCACCAGTAGTCTTTACATGAGCAGATGCCGTTAACGAAATGGTGGAATCGCTTTGTGTCTCTGAGGACTATGACTCTCCCAGTTACTTGTGATACAATCTTCATCCATGAGTGGCAGTCTGCACATAGTACTCTTAGATTCTTGGTAACCCTAATCGGAACCCCTGCACCAGCAAGAAAAACTACAATGCAGAGTATAGAGATCAAAATTTGGGAACACAACGTCTAGAATCGTGAGGGAAAAGCTGAAACAAATAGACTTGAAGATACACCATCTGTGGAATTAAAACTTAAGATGCAAACGGAGAATGGTGAACAAAAAGACGGTGCCGCTAGTGACTAGACGGTGCGTAAGAACACAAATGGTTCTTTGGTACGAGAAGAGATTTAAAAAAAAACATAATTCTCCACTTGGGAATTTCGGTTGTGAATTGAACCTTAAAGGAACAAACCCTTTCGCTAAATAAATAAAAAAAAAGTTATAAAAATTTAATATTTTCTCCGATCAATCGTTATCGTTCGTTCATAATTTACAAGCAATATGAACCGTTAGATTATATTGATTTTTTTCCCTATAATAAGTTGATCACGTCAGCAAACATAAAAGGATTATTTGGTTCAATAACCATAAAAAAAAATTAAAACCTACAAACTAACCAAAATAGATATATGTGGCAATCTCTTGGCTCATATTATAGGATTTAATTTTTTTGTTATAGTTATTCAACCAATTAACCCAACATAAAAAAGTGAGTTTGCTATCTCTTGGCTCTTCCTTGCTTATCAAGTCAAAACAGAGCTTTTAAAAGGTTTATTACACAGAGATGTTGTTGTCGGGGACAAACTCTGGTCTAGTCACTAGCGGCACCGAACCAACCTTGTTTCTGCAAATGGGACAAGTGGACTGACATCGAAGCCACGAGTCGATGCAATCAGCGTGAAACAAGTGATTACACGTCGGTAAAACCCTGGCTTTGTCTCCTTCGACGAGCTCGGAGAGGCAAACGACACATTCAACGTTGTGTTTGAAGTCTTTAGAGCTGAAATCAACGACGGGGATTGATCGGAGAACGGATTGGTCGATACCGGTTAATTCCTTGATGTTGATAATGACATGATCATCGTTGGTGCCATAGTGATCATGATCGTTGTTGGCGGCAATGGCATTATCAACACGATTACAAGCCCAAGACAAGAGTCGATAGAGACAAAGAACAAGCATACACTAAGCGAAGACGGAAATTAATAAGCAATAATCAAAGCCTTTCATCTTCAAATCCCACTTTTTTTTTGTGTGGTAGAAAAACTAAGTGAGAATCCCTAATGATATTGATTTGTTCTCATGAAACATAGATATTTATAGATTACAATCTTACTATATTATTCTCAAAAAGGAAAACTTCCTAAACTTGGATAAACCAAAATGGAAAAGTTAGTAATTTCCGTATTGTGTATTTGCTATCTAAATCATAAGTTCCCATAAAGCTTGTAAAAACGTGACTTGAAATCCACGTTTCACCTGACGTGTACCTTTCTTCTCTGTTTTACACCGATCGGGGA